CTTTCTTTCTTTCTTTCTTTCTTTCTTTCTTTCTTTCTTTCTTTCTTTCTTTCTTTCTTTCTTTCTTTCTTTCTTTTCTTTTCTTTTCTTTTCTTTTCTTTCTTTCTCTCATCATGTGGCCCTAAAGTCACACACAGACACAACATTATGTTTGTGATCACACAGATGCTGCCAACTACAAAACAGTAACACCAGGAAATGTTGACCTTTAATAGAAATATCTAAATAGAAACACAACTGAGCAGAGTCAAGTCATGGACATGTCTGACTGGACTCTCCTCCAGCAAAGAAAAATACGTYCACCCTGAGAAACATTTACAGTCTGACTGTAACCATGTGATGATAATGTGTAATGCTAAAATTTGTGTTGAAAAATGGAAACACTAAGCTTCCTGTGGTTGTTTGCAGCGCTGCAGCAGGCGGTGGTTTCAAAGATGAAAACCACAGTCATTACCTGTAGCTGAAGAGTGAAAAACGGTGCCACTGCTTAAAGCCTGGTGATAAATTCACACGCTAACATGCACGCTGTGGGTCTGCACTACACTCAGCCCATGCCCTCGGGCGCTCGCTTCGTGACCAATCAGAAAGATACAGGAAACCATGTCCACTGACACCCCCCCTCACAACTCTCACAGACGACCCAGACAGAAACGATCGTCAGACACATGTTGGAAAAAGAATCCTAACAAGTGCTGAAGACTCTGAACTGAGCGGTCTGAAGGGAGCACACCAGTGGTGAGTTACAGACCATCAATCAGAGTATAAAGATAGATCATTGCCTTTCTTCTACTGTTTTAGAAATATTTTATATTTTGGGGTATACARTATATTTACTTCTATTACATCAAGTATGATAACTGTGTGCAATAGACATAATTTAATGATCACTGCTTTACATTTTCATATAAGCTTTTATTATAGTTGAAATACTAAGAAGAAAAAATCTTATGTAATGGAGTTAAAGTTGTTCACTATTTTAGCTGAAAATCTAAGTTAAATATTTTAATGAGATGGTACAACAGTGGGTAAATCTGAATAAATAAATAAGGCACTTGTTGCTCAGTCTGTTTAAATATTTTTGCTCATGTCAGCCCCTCTTTCTGCTTTAACTGACCAAAAGGTCAAACAGATCAAATATGGATTTCCCTGTTGCTGCCTATGGTCAGGAGAAAGGAAGGAAAAGGTGTACGTGTGTGGGCGCGTGCATACACAAGCTCATTCGTGTGTGTGTGTGTGTGTGTGTGTGTGTGTGTGTGTGTGTGTGTGTGTGTGTGTGTGTGTGTGTGTGTGTGTGTGTGTGTGTGTGTGTGTG